CCCTCATCTCAGATTTGTTCCCACCCTCTTTCTTTTGGAGAGATCTTCCTTTGTTTCTAATTCAGGAAGCAGAAGAGCTAGACAGAGACAGTCGTGCAGTGGTCTGAGAGTGGTGGCAGATCTGTGTCTTGGGGACCCTGCCTGTTCCCACCTGCCAGGCCTTCTCCCACCCGCCTGTATGCCTTTAGTGTGGGCCCTGGTTCTGCTGCTATCGTGTGGTCCCCTGGGCAGAGCAGGGAGCGTGAACCAGGAACCCAGGCCGCGGTGGCAGCGAGCACTCAGGTTTCCTCTGACAACCCTGTCGCCTTGTTCCTGGCAGGGCATGGGCTACCTCCACGCCAAGGGAATCCTGCACAAGGACCTCAAGTCCAAGAACGTCTTCTACGACAATGGCAAAGTGGTGATCACAGACTTTGGGCTCTTCAGCATTTCCGGGGTGCTGCAGGCTGGCAGGTGAGAAGTGGTGTGAGGGCTCACACACAACGACCGACCAACGACCAATGGGGACGGGGAGCCATCCCAAATGGCTTTAGTGACCTAGATGTGGTGTAGCCTGAGGTCACCTAGCTGAGCAGCCAGGCCGCCCTGTGATGGTGCAGGGCTGACTCCCAGGTGGGCACCGAGCATCTCCAAATCCTGCAAAGCCCTGGCCTTGAGTTTCACTGGAAGACTCTTCCCTCATCCCAAGTACTCACCCGGAAGTGGGAATCACCCAAGAGCCTCCCTCCAAGCTTCCTTATGAATCCATCCATTTTAGTGGAGCAGGACTTCAGTTAAGAGCGAGGGATTTAAGGTCACACACACCTGGGCCCAGCGTGGCTTGGCCACTTACTTACTAACTGACTTCAGTCAAGTTATGGACGTTTTCTGAACTTCAGTTTCCCGTCTGCAAGGAAAATGATGGATGGGGTTGTGCTTGCCTCCAGGTCCTTGTGCGGATAAAATCAGATACCACATCCAGTCCAGCGCAGCGCCTGGGGCACAGGACACTACAAATAGTAGCTGCTGCTGAGTTGTAATTAGTATTAATTTGCATAGGCCTCCTCAATATCACACAGGAGAATCATTAACCACCAGTTAAGTAATTAACTCTCAGGCGCCTCTCACCCCTAGAGCGAGGTGACCGTGTGAAAAACAGCTTGATCCCAAGTAAACAACCCATAATTCAGAAGGGCCGCCTGTGTGGCTTTTAATTTGGAAAGTGTGTGTGTGTGTGTGTGTGTGTGCGCGCATGCGCGCACACACACACACACACACACACAGACTCCAGACCCAGCGTGTTTTCTCTAACGGAGCCCCACATATAACGAACGGCTTCCTCCTCAGAGAGGCAGCCTCACAGTCTCTCCTTCCTCTTCAGCTTCTTCCCTTTGAGAACAGCTGGTGTCTACACTGCACCCAGGCCTCTCCCAAGTGAATTTGGCTCACACTCCATAATACCTTGAGTCTAAGTCCCACTGTCCGAAGTCGGGTGAGACGTGATCTGGCTCTTTCTGTGTGATGCGGAAACGAACAGAAGCTTAAATGTCATTTTTAGATTTTACTCCACCACCCCCCCCCCAAAATTCTCGCAGTCTTCAAAACCATCGAGTTAGAGCATCTCAGATAAGAAAATAGGCAGAAAATGATCAAATACATCAGCAAGGAGTGAGGTGGAGAGAGGCCTCGAGTCAGAACCCAGAAGCCAGGCGGGCTGGCTCCTGTGGGCTCCTTCCCTCTGCCTCCCCGGCAGCACTTACTTCGAGGTTTGCTGCAGGGGGACCGGCACACTCCCCCTGTTGCCATCGCCACTGCCCCTCTTTCTTGGATGGCATTCTTACTCAACCTCATTTCTGAGTCCTCAAGATAAAAAACATATCCATAGGTAATACCCAAGCGCACTGATTGTGTGGCCCTGGCAGCTGACACAGCCCTGTACCGGGATTTGTCTCCCTTTCGTCCCTGCACCGGCCATGTGAAAGTATGTGCCCATTTTGTAGGTGGGAAAATAGAGACTCGGGTCTGCTCAACATCACAGAGCTAGTAAGCAACAGATGGGTCCTTAAATCCCTGCCAGTGTCTCGATTCCACAAGCAAGACCTCACTGGCCTGCCACCTCAAGCGCTTGCTAATGGATTCGAGTCCTGTATTTGCTAGCGGGCAATGTGTTCTATCCCGTCCACTGTGTAGGGCACAGGAGCAAGTCATGTGTCACTGATGGGGAAAGACTGAAATTTGGACCATTTCCTTATTTTACGTAGAAATTTGAACAGTGATTCTCAGCTACGCTCTCCCCGCCCTTCCCCGGGACATTTGTGATGTCTGCAGACATTTTTAGTTGTCACAACGGGAGAGGAGGTGCTACTGGTGTCGAGTGGGTACAGGCCAGATGCTGCTCACCATCCTCCAGTGCGCAGAGCAGCCCCACCCAAAGGACTACCCAGCCCAAACCAGAACTCAGACTCCTGCAGCCTCTCGCCAGGCTTCTCCCGCCCCCAAGCAAGGTCTGCCAGACGACTTCAGGGAGGATATGAACAAACATTTTCCATATTAATTTTAATGTGTACTTAAGAAGTGCTAGTTTCTACTTAAGGTCACGTTAAAAGGTAATCTATTAAAATATACAGGAGTGAAAAAAATCCATTTGTTGTAAATAATATTCTAGCGTAGCACTGTCCAAGGTGGTAGCCACTAGCCACAGGTGGCTATTTTAACTTGAATTCAAATAAGTAAAAAGCTCACTTCTTCCGTTGCATGGGCTGGATGTCAGTTGCTCAGTAGCCAGGATGGAAGCAAAGGGTGAGAATAGCTGATCTCGAAGGTGTTGAGCTAGGGCAGGACTCCCCGCTGTGGGATGTGAACGAGTGAGTTCAGGAGGCAATGCCTCAGGCCTTGGGGAGCTCAGCAGCCTGCCCTGGAGGAAGCCTCCAGCCCAGCCAGCCTGGGGTTCCCAGCAGGCGCCCCGGAGGCCCCACTGCTGGGGGCTCTGGCCCCTCGTAGCCTCACTCCTTTTTGTTTGTTTGTTTGTTTGTTAATCCTTATCTGAGAGTATTTTTCCCCATTGATTTTCAGAGAGAGGAAGGTAAGGATGGAGAGGGGGGAGAGAAAGAAAGAGAGAGAGAGAGAAAGAGAGAGAGAAGCATCAGTGTGAGAGAGACACATTGATTGCTTGCCTCCTACACATGCCCATCTGGGAATGGGGATCACCAGGGATCGAACCTGCTACTGAGATATGTGCCCTTGACTGGGTATCAAACCCATGGCCCTTCGGTGTGCAGCCAATGCTCTAACCACTGAGCAGCATCAGCCAGGGCACAGCCTCACTCCTGATGGTTGGAGGTACCCATCCCCTTCTCCCTAACCTGCCCACTCTCCCTGTACCAGCTGGCCCTTTCCTAGGAGAGAGGGAAAACTCGCAGGAGGTCGGATTTCAGTCTCAGATGGAGAGTTCTGCAGTTGCTAAAGGTGCACAGTGAAGAAGGGAGCTTCCTGTCTCCTCCAAGGATGGATCCCGCGGAATGCTCATAGGTGCTGCCCAGAGATGCCCACGCAACATTGTTTATGGTGCTGGCAGGGGAGCCACCCAAGGCCCGCCCCGCGGGTTGGATGTATACATTTGAGTGGATACACAGGATGGCGTCATGTGTGCCACTCACACTGGTGTTTCTAGGTTTCTAGAACACAGGCCCTGCCTGGGACCTTGGTCTCACTTTCCCACCTGCCTGCAATTCTCCTGTGCAGAGGGCTGGATCCTTTGGGTCGTGCCCATCTTAGCTCACATTTTACCTAAAGCCAGCTTCCTCTTATCTTTGACACTTTCCCTTTTTAACCTTTTGTGCAATGCTTACCACCTTCTGTGTCTTCCCTGTTTATTTAATTCACTTGTCATTGCCTCTCCCTACCAAAGTTCGGGTTCCAGGAGGGCGGGCCCCATTGGTCCTGTTCTCCACTGGGCTCCTGGTGCGAGACAGAGCCTGGTGTCATAGTGCGTGCTCCATAAATACAGCTGGTCCTCCTCAGTCACAGACTCAGTATTTGCAACTCACCTACTCAGATGTATTGGTAACCCCAAATCTGCATTCACGGCCCATGCACAGTCATTCAGGAGCATGCAGGGTGGGGAAGGATAGGAGTCATGTGACAGGCCTGTTCCCCACTGAGGCTGAACAAAGGGCCACTCTGCCCTGTTGCTCCAGCGGCCATGGGGAGATGACCAGGGGGTGGAGCAGGGTGTGCCTGCTGTGCAGCGCAAGAAGCCCCTGCCCTGGGGCCAGCTGGCACTGGGCAGTGGGGCAGCCCCGCACAAGCATCAACACTCGGAGCCTCAACTTCCCTTGTGCAAACAAAGAAAGCAGAATGGACCAGGACAGGTGGTTTGGGGGATTTGAGATGATGTATGTGAGAGGTGTGTGCGCACGCGCATGCGGGTATCTGTCCGTACTTCCCAAGAGCACCAATTTCGTATTCACTGGCACATGTTTGTGGAGACTACAGAGCATGACTCTACAAGGATGAGAATCGGCTGTATTCATGGAATGCAGGGGGGAGGGGCGCCTCAGAGGCGAAGGGACCCGGGGTGGTTTGGGTGTTGCCTGTCTCTCCAGACCAGCCTTCCCTGTACCACTCCCACTGGGTCTTAGCCTCAAGTACAAGGTCAGGCAGTGCCCCAACAGGGAGACTCGAGAAAGCCAGCAGAGATGGCACAGGGGCTGGGTCGGCGCTGGGGGCCTGACCTCCCGGGGCTGCGACACAGGACTCACTCTGTGCTTTGCTTTCCAGGCGGGAGGACAAGCTGCGCATCCAGAACGGCTGGCTGTGCCACCTGGCGCCCGAGATCATCCGCCAGCTGTCCCCCGACACGGAGGAGGACAAGCTGCCCTTCTCCAAGCACTCGGACGTCTTCGCCCTCGGGTAGGCGCCCGCCCGGCCTTCGAGAGCCTCGGCCCCAGCAGAGGCCCGCGTCCCCGGTTTCCTCCAGTGCTTTTGGGAGGGACGGGCACCTGTCTGTGGGGCAAAGTGGCTGGGTTTCTGAGTGAGGTTGGGGGATCGCACTGGGGTGCAGGAAAAAGGGGAGCCCTAGCCCATCTTCGTGCCTGGTTTCTAACTGGTTATGGACCGTGGCAGGCTACCTGGCTCATTCACAACAGTATGTCCAGTTTCAGCACAGCCACAGTACTGTGTGCAGAGTGGAAAAGAGAAGGACAGGATTGAGGCCGGTGACCAGGCCAGGCGGAGATGCTGGTGCTGTCCGCTGAGTCCGTGCCAGCGGGTGTGGAAACGGGGAATGGAGACGCATTCAGAAAGGGGAGCGACGAGGTGTGATGGTGGACGGAATGTGGGTGGCGCCCAGATTTCTACCTTAAGCACCTGGGCAGAGGGAGTTACCACCTCACCACGGTAGAGAGAGCCTGGAGGAGGGGCAGGAAGGCAGAGAGGGCCGAGTTGTATCCAGTGAGTTTGAGCTGCCAGGGAGCGGGCCCCGGAGCCAACCAAAGGCGCAGAATCTGCGTCTCCAGCCTGGGGAAGACGAGTTGAGGATTGTCAGAAGGAAAGGGTGACCGCCGTCCTGGGAGAGAACCCGATGTCTGTTGTTTTTGTTTTGTTTTTAATTGATTTCAGAGAGGAAGGGAGAGGGAGAGAGGGATAGACACATCAGTGATGAGAGAGAACCATCGATGGGCTGCCTTCTGCACGCCCTACACTGGGGATCGAGCCTGCAAGCTGGGCATGTGCCCTGAACGGGAATCGAACCGTGACCTCCTGGTTCATAGGTCGACGCTCAAGCACTGAGGCTCACAGACCGGCTGAGTGAGATGTCTTTGGAAGTGGAGAGGGGGGTGAGGATCCAGGACACACAGCCCCGAGATGCGGGCCGAGCGTTCTGAGAAGGTGCAGCTGGGAAGGCTTCACGCTCCCCTCCCTCCAGCGGCCCGCCAACCTCACCTGAGCCATCGGGGTAGTGGAGGGCTGGGGAGAGAATGCTGGGGAAGCTACCGGGGAAGCCGCAGGCCTGCAGATGCGTGTAGATACACTGAGACCCGGAGAGACGCTAGGCCATCTTCCCTGGGAAAGGGCCCACCGCGCCCCTCTGTGAAACCTGGGAGCAGGTCCTGGCACATTAGGCTGCTCAACGACTGTCACTTGGACCCCTTAATGGCTGTCATTTTCCCTGATTCGTTTATGCCCCAATCTTTATCTAGTTAGAAACTGTTATCTGAAACCAAATTGCAGTAATTAAGTTGCTATATTTTCATATAAATTTAGCAAAAGAAAGAAGAATGTAATTAACAAAATGTACCGAAGTAAGTAATTACTTTTTCACTGGTGTTTTCATCTTCGGCAACTGTTATTTTCCTTTAAGTGAGTTCTCTTGCAAGTTGGGTGCGAAATAAAGTTGGAGGCCTTCATTCCTGACACTTGCATTCTGGTTTCCTGCCCATTAGATGCCTCTTGGTGCTTGGGAGCGCCATGCTCACGCATAACTTAGGGCAAGGGGACTTTCAGAAGCGTGATGAGCACTGCGTTAGGGCTCTTACGAGCAGGTGTCATGCCCGTTCCCAACTGACAGGTGAGGAAACAGGCTCCGAGGGGCTCAGTGACTCTCCCGATGGCAGGCAGGAGCTGGGAGTCACACGTGGGACAGCCTTGCTCCAGATTTGGTGCTTTGAACCACGGAGTCATTTCACCATTCAAAGCCCTAATTAAAGATCATAAAACCCACTGAGGTGTTGTAAGGAGTAAGTGAGCAAACACCCACAGGACACCCAGCCCGGCACCCAGCCCAGCACCCCGCTCCCGCTCCCGACAGCCTCCCTTTCTCCTTTCACATGAGCAGCCCCTGAGCCTGCAGTCTGTCTGTGCTCCTCACCAGCCCTCACCCATCAACTACAGGGGTTGTCCTCCCAGGGAATTCTCTGCCCCGATTGCATGATGGGGCATAGGGCTGCCAGTCTAGCACAATGGCCAGTGATGCAATTCTGTAGTCAGATGAACTGGATACAACCACCTATTTGCTATGTGACTTCAAGTAAGATAACATAACCTTTCTGGACCTCGGTTTTCTCATCTGTAAAATGGGGATAATGAGCGTGCCTCCTGTTTAAAATGGAGCTTTCATTATTAGTCAGATATGATGAGGCCAATAGATTAGCTGTGGTCGGCAAACTGCGGCTCATCTCATGAGCCACATGCGGCTCTTTGGCCCCTTGAGTGTGGCTCTTCCACAAAATACCACGTGTGGGCATGCACGTACAGTGTGATTGAAACTTTGTGGCCCATGCATAGAAGTCGGTATTTTGTAGAAGAGCCAGTATTTTGTGGAAGAGCCACACTCAAGGGGCCAAAGAGCCGCATGTGGCTTGCCAGCCGCAGTTTGCTGAGCCGCAGCTTGCAGACCACTGGATTAGGGCAATGACTGCCATTGAAAGGATACTTTGTTACAGTTCCCAGAAGGACAGGGCATATACTGAGAAGTAAACACTCAATCAGTGTTATTGTTTATTGTTAGGATAAAACCACCGAGCACCTTAACTTGAGAACTTCCTAAGCATCCAAAGCAGTGGTTCTCAACCTGTGGGTCGTGACCCCTTTGGGGGGTCAACGACCCTTTCACAGAGGTCGCCTAAGACCATCAGAAAACACATATATAATTACATATTGTTTTTGTGATTAATCACTATGCTTTAATTATGTTCAATTTGTAACAATGAAAATACATCCTGCATATCAGATATTTACATGAAGATTCCTAACAGTAGCAAAATTACAGTTATGAAGTAGCAACGAAAATAATTTTATAGTTGGGGGTCACCACCACATGAGGAACCTGTATTAAAGGGTCGCGGCATTAGGAAGGTTGAGAACCACTGATTTAAGCAACATCCCAGCACCTGAGCGGCAGCACCCCTCCCCGCCCCGGAAGGATGAGGTCGGCAGGGAGAAGCGATGCTAAGGGGAAGTGGGACTCTAGAAGTAGCCCGATTGACACAGTCCTTGGATTCAAAAGGATAACGGGGTGCTTGTGTTCTTTAAGGCAAATTTACACAAATTAGCCTAGATCGGAGGAAAGATCAGCTCCCAGGATGGTTTCAGAGAATCCCTGAGTTGCGGAGCCTTGTTCTCAGTGAGCTTGTAACTGGACAAACAATGGGTCCGTGCTGCCTGTCACTACTCAAGCCAATTACGCAGAGACAGGGTGAATCATATGTGAGCGCTTATTCCAGTATTGCCGGCAGTATGGGAGAGCAGCAGGTTAGCCACAAAAATCTGCTCTGCAGCCCACCATAAGCCAGCTGCTTATATAGGCATAAGTACCAAGGAAAGTAGGCAAAAGGGCAGTTTACAGATATGCAAAAGGCTAGGGGTCTTCAAAGGGCTTAGTGACATGCAAGGGCAGGGGTTACATGGGGAAATAGCCGAAGGGAGTGCCAGAATTAACAGGTAAGTAGGCTGGAGGTCTGCAAAGGCCTGCAGGTATGCAAAAAGGGCTGGGGATCTTCAAAGGGCTGGCGATTCTGGTTTCTGTAACAAATCTTTGTTAATCTTTTCATGATAATAGGCAGCTCCAAATGGGGAGAAAAGGCTGCGTCTCCAAGTCAGCTCCTGCCAGGGTGGAATGTGCCTTCTTTAATCAGAATAAAACAATCATAGAGCCTGATTAATAGTTCTTACAATACTAGCTAGTTTCCCATCATTCTATTTCTGCCCCTTTTCAAGCTGAGACCTATCCACACGGAATAGCGCCAACACCCGCATCCCAGGAGCACCCACATGGTCCTTACTGTCCCCCACACCTCCCAGCATCATTTATGCTGCCCAGCCCGGGCCCTGTCCATTCCCACGTGCTGCTCACCGGAGCAGACCTTTCCTCAGTCATTACACTGTCATTGTCTATGAAATACATGATGACAAAATCAGTCCTTCTAGAATCAACCTGGCATCGAATTGCCCTCCACTCAGCATCCCAGATAAACAGCCTCCCGCCTCTAACATGGCAGGTTAGGGCATCCAGGCCCAGGGAATGACGTGACCTGCCCAGCAGCATGCAGCCAGTGCGGAGTAGAACCAGAACTTGAACGCAAGGCAGTCTGCCTCTCAGACCGTTTCTTTTCTTTCTACAGGACGATTCACACTTAGAAAAACACAAGTACAAAAGGAAAAATTCCTATCCTATATTATCCTATCACAGAGATAGCCACTGTTAACACTTTACAGTGTTTCTCTTTATTCTCTTGTCGATACATATACAATGCTTTTTTAAAAAAGAGCAACACTATATCTTAGACATAGTTTTCTTTTTTCATTTAAAGTGATATATTGAGCATTTTTGTCTTGAAATGTGTTAATAATGTAGGATTCTATGTCATTTGATGGGTTTACCATGATACATGCAGCCTGTTCCCTCTACTGAACACTTGCATCATCCCTGCTTTCTTCAATGTTACGCATCATGTTGCAGAGAACATCCTTGTAAATGACTCTTGTATCCTTAATTATTGCCCTACAGTGGCTCTCTAGAACAGGGGTCCTCAAACTACGGCCCACAGGCCACATGCAAATACAAATATTGTATTTGTTCCCGTTTTGTTTTTTTACTTCAAAATAAGATATGTGCAGTGTGCATAGGAATTTGTTCATAGTTTTTTTTTTTTTAAAACTATAGTCCGGCCCTCCAATGGTCTGAGGGACAGTGAACTGTCCCCCTGTTTAAAAAGTTTGAGGACCCCTGCTCTAGAATTACAGGCCAGAGGTCACAGCCACACACTATTAAATTATTCAGGTTCTAGGTTTTGATTCATGTTAGTCAAGGCATCAGAGGCGGTATCCTGGGATAAGCATGACTATAAGACACCAATAAAGCCTTAAACACAGCCAGGGAGAGAAACAGCCACCCTGTGAAGAAGAAAGTAGGGGATAGAGTGACCAGCCAGCAGGCTGGCGGGTGGGTGGGTGTCAGTGGGCGGATACGAGTAACATGTCACACCAACACCCCTTTAACAACGGCTGCCAACAGAACAATCTGGTATGAACTTCACGCCAGGGAGTGGCCTTTCAAGACCCAGCCAGCAGAGGCAATCATCTGGCAAATGGGCACAGGCATGAAACCCAACCTCAGCCAGATCGGCGTGGGAAAAGAGATCTCGGTGAGTCGGATGGTGCCAGGTCCTGGGGACAAGGGGAGCAGCAGACACCATTCCGGGCTTCCTTTTTCTTGTGTGTGAAGGTTGCAAGTGCTTTCCCAAAGGGTAACCAAAAAGCATGCCCACAGCCTTGTCCTGTAATAATTTGGAGCTTAGAAGGCAAAACTCTCTGAACCGTGCCTGCAATTCAGGTTCCTACCATCAGGGATGCAGTAGCACTTGGCCAGGTTTTCCTAGCAGTGGACTGCTGAGTTAAGTAGAACCAGGGAATCCTTCTTTTTCTGTCAATTTAAAAAAGACATTCATTAAAATATCACTGGTAATCTAATTTTAATTGCATCGACATTAAAAAATTTAAGGCATTGTCCAACTCAGAACAAGATATAAAGAAACAGAGAAGCCTGAGTATCTATATATATAAAAGGCTAATATGCTAAGTCTCCGACTGTCCAACCAGTTGCTTTGGTGCACACTGACCACCAGGGGGCAGACGCTCAACACAGGAGCTGCCAAGCTGCAGTGACTTGGCAGCGGCCGTTCTCGGGTGACGCACCCCGAAACCAGAGAGGAGGGAACCCGATTCCCCGCGGGGCCTCGTGATTCCACCTTCGGCCATAGGTTATGTTGTTGCTGGGGCACTGTCGCCCCGAATCTGGTTTACTGCACACTTGCATTTGCATTTCATACCCTGTATGATAGCAACTTTGCAGAGTGCCCTCTCGCACTCTGGGACCCCTTGGGGGATGTCAGGCCAGGCCAAGGGACCCCACTCACTCTGCAGACGTCAGGGAGGGACAGAGGGAGGTTGGCTCCAGGGCGTGTCCGGCCCATCTTGCCCAGTCCTGCCCCACCGGCCACCTTCTAATTAATTTCCTTTCAATGTTCATGAATCCGTGTACTGGTATATTAGTAGTCATTCTCTAAAACATAGAACGAAGAATTCCCCTCTTTTTTATTTTTTAATCTTCACCTGAGAATATTTTTTCTATTGATTTAAAGAGAGTGGAAGAAGGGGTTGGAGAGAGAGACACGGATGTGAGAGAGCCACATCAATTGGTTGCCGCCCACATGCCCCCAACCAGGGCTGGGAGCCTGCAATCGAGGTATGTGCCCTCAACTAAAATCGAACCCAGGACCCTTCAGTCCACAGGCCAACACTCTATTCACTGAGCCAGACCAACTAGGGCGAATTCCCTTTTGATCAGAGACAGATGAGTCAGGGAGGGGGTCATTATCTGGAATGCTTTTAAGGACTGCCTGCCTCTTAAGTTTCCTTTCTCAGGTGAGAATATTACTGTAAGTAATTTTCCCCTCGATGACTTTGAAGGGCACTATAGTATTAGGATGTGGATTCCTTTTCTCCCTCCCCATTAAGAAAAATGTTCACAAACTCATTGAGAAGTATTTTATTGATCTTAGTGTATTCCAGGCCTTCTAGAATAGGGCTAACCTAGCCTGCCATATGGCCTAGAAAGTAGGTAAGTAGAAGGATAGGTGGATGGGTGGATGGATGA